CCTCCTTCCCCTCCCCTCGGAGGCCCCCTGAGTCAGGAGTTGCTACTGCCGGCGCGGCTCCCCGCGGCTCCAGTCCCGCATTGCCTCGGGAAGGGAAAGGCAAAAAGGAAGAGCCGCGGCGGTGCTTTGCAACGGCAGCGGCAGCGGCGGCACTGGAGGCTCAGGCTCAGCGGCTCCTGGTTTTGCCTTTTTCTTCCCAAGGCAACACGGGACTGGAGCCACACGGAGCTGCGCCGGCGGTAGCAACTCCTGACAGCCCCAGCCGGACACCTGAGTGGAGCCTGGGCGGAACTGCCTGTTGCTGCTGCCGGAGCACCGCCGGGTCGCCTCCTCCAAGCAGCCCGCCTGCCCGCCGGGCTTCCCCTCCGCCGCGCGGCTCTGGGCCAGGCGTGAGCGCCCGCGAGGAAAAAGGAAGCCGCAAGTGGCTGGGAAGTTGCTCAGGTGCTGGGAGCAGGCTTTTAAAGTGCCGCCCGAGCAGGACCGCCGAGCCGGGAAATGGGGCACCAAGGCAGGGCAAGGCTCCACCAGCAGCGGCCTAGCTTTAGGTGGCTCCAAGCAGCTCGCTCTAAGCAGCCCGCCCTGCCCGCCGGGCGGAACCCTTCCCGCTCCTCGGCGGGAAGACGCTCCAGCCTGCAAGCTTTGCCTTTGCAAAGTTTAAGCCTGGAAGCCCCGGAAAAAAAGGGGGGATCGGCGGGGACTCACCTTCGGAGAGGTCGCACTCGAAGGTGATTTCGAACTCCCAGCCGAGGCCTTTGCAAAGTTCTTCTTTTCTTTCCTACCCCGAGAGCGCTCCGCACTGTTTTGCAGCTTTGGGGGCCACGCGGCGCAGGGCAATACGCCACGCCCAGTGATTTTTTTTCAGGGGCGGGCCAGATTGGACAGACCAACGGGCCGGATGTGGCCCGCGGGCTGTAGTTTGCCCACCCCTGCTCTAGGGGGTGGTGCTCATCTCCATTACAAAGCCAAAGAAGAGCCAGCACTGTTCGAAGATGTCTCCGTGGTCGTGTGGCCGGCAGGACTAAATGCCTTCAAAGGTGCACGGAACGCTGTTCCCTTCCCACCAAAGGGGGCCCTATTTTTCTACTTCCATTTTTTACGTGCTTTTGAACTGCTAGGTTGGCAGAAGCTACTGGGACAAGTAATGGGAGTTCACTCCATTAGGCAGCACTAGGGATTTGAACCGCCGAACTGCCAACCTTTCTGATCGACAAGTTCAGCATCTTAGCCATGAGCCACAGCATCCCTGTATCCCTCTTTACATACCTCCATAATGTCTTTGACTACTGGAGTCCATCGGGAGAGTTGGTAAGTCTGTTCACTGATACGTTCCTTCCGTTCCGGCTTGCTTCTACGACGTAAGGTGGACTGGACACAATAGAGAGAAAATGGAGTCAGAGGATAATGATTGGGTTAATTCACAATGCAAGAGTAAATTGGAGCCTTCTAGGCTTTGGGGACTAAGGCTTTTGTGCAAGATTGTTTTTTGCTTTTGAAGACGTTTCACCCAAGAAGCTTCTTCAGCTCTGACAGGACAGTGGAGAATGGAAGGATTTATATTCCTTGCAGACAGCTGGTTATTTGCATCCTTTTACGGGGTCCTTGAAGCACTTGGACGTTTATCTGTGTCCTCAGGGTCACCCGAGTAGTGCAGATGGTTCCTGTAGTCTGCATTTTTTCCTCTGGAAATCCATCCCTACTCCCACAACATTCCAAGGCTGTTCATCCCAAATTGTATAGCTAAAAGTCTCAGTCATCCAGGCCATAGTTGTCCCAAAGGTGCTTTTCCAGTTGCCTCCTGAAAAAGCACCTTTGGGACAACCGTGACCTGAATCGTGGTTGAATCCTTCAACTGCTCCCAAGGCAACAGGCTGGAATAAGAGTCCTAGCAAGTCTTGTGCTTGACCTCTGTGGTCAAACGCAAGAGAAATCCTGGGAATCTTAGAAGAAAGTACCAAGCAACAAAATGGCTATCCCAATCTTGAATCTGCTGCCCCAAGCAAGGTAGGCCTTGTTCTACCACCTGTTCTGCTTCCTCATCTTCATTCCACAGTTGGGACCAAGCTATCCAAGCACTACATGGGTCAGCCCCTTCCAGCAAAACAGATCTGGTCTCCAGAGCATCTGAAAGAACCTAGCCGGACTTACATCTGTGACGATGGGTACCCCAAGATGTGCCATATTGGTGATGATCTCACTGTCCTCAGGAGGGATCTGAGCATGCTGGATCAATTTATTCAGGTTTTCCTCGGTGATCCCTGGGGGAGGATGGAGAAAGACCATATGTGCATGTTCTAGGAGATGGAGTCAGCACGCATGTACACCGACAAACAGCAGTTTCTGAGACTTCTCAGGAAACAACAACGGAATGAAAAACTGCTGGTGACCTTCTATCACTGCACCATAGAGAGTACTTTAGTTGGCCCTTGTTCCTCAGCTGTTCCCTTCATCTGACAACTCTGTGCATGTGGACACTGGGAATAGGCTCTAGCTATTCTTCTGCCTCACTGATCTCCGACTCCGAAGGCAGCTGATAACTGTCAGATGGCCCTGGCCCCATCTCTGCGTCCGATGCAGAGCCCTCGTCAGAGCCTTCCCAGGACTCCAGGACTGGCCCAGGTTCCTCCCCAACCTCCTCACTGTCTGAATCTGCTGCCAGCTCCACTGGCTGCTGTCGGGCCACAACATCAGGTCTCCCCAAAGGCTCCCAGCCTAAATAAGAGTGTCTCCTACCATTCTTGAGAAAGATGTAGAGTAAGATGATCCGGATCTTGTCATAGGTGCTGACGTTGGCATCAAGCAGGATTGGGACAATTGCACGCATGGGATCTTTGATCTTCTCCCCTTCTGCATCAGTGCCCATTGCCAGATCCTGGCAAGACAGAACATCTCCCTGCAATTCACTATCTCAGGACCATTGGAAAGCTCTCCTGCCCAGTTGAGGTTGAGTTGAACTGGGAACTAAAGAGTTCAGCTTCCAGGAGAGCTTTTTTATTTTTATTTTGAAAACAGTCCAGGGATGTAAGTGGGCCATTGAAACCAGTCAACTGGTCAAGGTAAGTCTGCTGGAATCCACTCCTTTGTTAAAGGAAGTTGAGAAACACTGTGGACAGCAAGAAAGCCAGCTGTTTCTTTAACTTCTTGAGAGGTGTCAACTCGTAAAACATTCCTATGTCTGTTTTTGAGTTGCCATAAACAAGGGGGGGGATCTGAAGGAGCAGTACCTCAGTTTAAAACCAGAAGTACATTCCATGCTTATCTTACAAAGATTGTAGCTAGGCTACCGGATCTTCTGCCTGGGAAAATCCTTCATTGGAGAACATGATTGATAACACCCAGCCCTTGAATGTGCTTCATTGGAGAATCTGATTTATGAAACACCCAGGGGGGAGGGGGAAATAGGGTCACAGGTGACTATAAATATGTAACCCTAATAAATCTTTTGGATTCTTTTGAAGCTTGGCTCGAGGTTCATGATTTAATGAGGGCAATTGCCGGAACCTTAAAACAAAAGGTCTATCAAATTCTGGGAATGCTTCTTCAAACATCCTTTGGTCAGGATAATTTGTAAGCTCTCCCTTTTTGAGGCACACACAAACATGCAGCTCAATGCTTCTGGCATGAGCAGACTTACCTGCTCAACTCTGCAGAGTTTGTCCACGGTGCCTTGGTAGTGCTTCATGCAGTCTTCAGCCAGGTGGAGATGAGTGGAATACTAGCCAACACAAGAAAGAAAGAAAGAAAGAAAGAAAGAAAGAAAGAAAGAAAGAAAGAA